GAGTCTCAGACAAAGAGCTGCTAACTGTCTAGACTCGGTGGGCATGTTTTTGTTTACATGTGACTCACTGACTGTGGGACCGAACTTTTCTTTTTTGTAAATTAAGCTGATAAAACTAATAAAACAGATGCTCTGTGTATGATGTTTGCAACACGGGGGTGTTGAGAGTTTGTGGGAGTATTTGATGTGGGAGTCATCAAGGACCCAGGAGGGAGTCTGGCTCTACGAAGACTCGGTTTTTACCAGAGAAAACTGCTTCCTGTTTTCCAGCACTTTTAAAATGGTAGAGATGTGTGTGTGTGTGTGTGTGTGTGTGTGTGTGTGTGTGTGTCTGCGTGCAGCAAATTTCAGTCTAAGATGTTTTGGTGATTGCTTCAGTTTGAGATTTCCCATCTCTGGTCTCTAGTTTTCAGTAGAAAAACATAAACGCTAAAGCTGCAGTCGCTGTTTCCAATTCACCATCATATTGACTAAATATGAAAATTATTTAAAGGTTCAGTTTCTCCATCACTGCTACACACAGACTGATGCTTCTGAAACTTTATTTCTATTCATTTCTGCTTGCAGATAATAAAAAACACATTTGAGATTGAATAATTACATCAGACCAATAAAAGATGTTTTAATACCAAAATATGCACTTAAAAAATCTGCGTACGGCGCTTTTAATCTGAAAAATGAGCCTCATGGGGACCCATACTTTCATTTGTCGAAGACGACTGTAACCACAGATGTTGGTTTATCTGAAAAACGTGTCTCACATGAGTCGAAACGTAAAGAAAGGGAGCACATTTTTGTGAAAGATCCAACAGAGTCATGTATGTCTATAAATTATGTGTAGCTTTTAATGCACCGCCATTTTCTTTTCTGGGGTTAAAGGCTGTAAAATCTGCAGTCCGCTACTGTAGTCTTTTCAACTTTAGTCTGTTTTTCTTCTTGCCCACCGACCGTTCAGCAGTTTCTGGTTAAACTGACTTATTCAGAAAATAGGTCAGACTGCCATGCAGTTGGAGCCATTTTAAGCTTTCAGCCTTCAATGCAGATGAATCTTCATCGCTGCAGACAAAGCGACTGCATGAGGTTAATTGATGCTACAGCTGTATATAATATCATCTCCCATCAGGCCCGTCACAATAAATTTAGCTGGATAAAAAATCATATTATAAGTTATTGCAATGAACTGAAATATTGCTGTTTTGAGAACATGTTCATGTTGCATAATAATGCAAGTGCACTCTCTCAAAGATTATTAAACATACATTTTTAATAACCATTTATGAAGATATTATGAAGATATTAAATAAACTAAAACGATAAATAAAATGGAACGTTGACGTCTCTGTAAACAAATTTGTCCTTCATAATAGGAGTACTTGAGATAAACACACCGCACTAAAAAGATCCTTAAGTTTTGTGGCGGATTGTGATGATAAAAAACTGTCTCTATAATTAATAATAATGTGGTAATTTCATCCTGATTACTTGAACTGATATCAGGTCATTACTGTCACATTTGATTATGACTTGTAACGTGTCAGACATGTGATCTTCAGGATGTTGCAACTGAAACATCGAAGCCACCAGGCTGAAGAGGAAGTTAAGTTTCAACACAGCGAAATATAGATTTAGTTTAAGCTGCATGTTTTCATACGACATAGTGCAGCCAAGCTTACGCTGCAAAGACATGAAATCTCACCAAGTACTTCTGGTCTCGTTTCTTAGCTCAATTCAAACTAATTTACACAAAGAGAAATCTCATTTTAAATCAATAATTAATGTAATTTTGTCTTATTTTAAGTGTAGATAAATTTTTGCACCAGGAATAGACCAAAGAATCTCTGTACATTTTCTGTTTTTAGCAAAAAATACTTTATAAAATGTTTTTTCAAAGCTCTAACACTGTTGTAATAATTTATTATGACTACGTATCTTAATTTTTTTCACTGTGGCAGTACTTTTATTATTATCAATAGTTTATATTTCTCTATTTCTGTGCGGCATGTCTTTTGGTAAATGATATGCCACCCTCACGTGTGCGATACAACATCTCTTTGAAATCGCAGATGTACGCACTCCACGTTACACACAGCCGAATGTCGTCAGAGCGATGGGGCAGCGCCGTGCGTCTGTTCCATCTCAGGCATATAACAATAAGCCCAGGGCTGCATTCCAGTGGGCTTTCTCTTTGAAATGGGATACCGGCACACGCATCACAAATATATCTCCTGTTTTATCTTCCGGGCCAGGCCCATGGAAAAATTATTCCAAATACCTGCCGCGCTTTATCTGGAACCCTGGAATAGGTTAGGCCCAGCCGGGAACACGAGGATGTCTAAAATAAGGCCTCTATTACGGGATGAAGTGGAGATGGATGGGACGGAGCGGGAAGGGACGGGGATTGTGGGGGTAATTTAGGTGTATCCGCCCCTGTGAAAAAGGGCTTGTTGCGGGGGCTTTAAAGTCTACAATGTAGGCCGATGTCAGCTGTTGCACAAACTTCATGTGATGGGGGAGGGTTTGAGTGCAGACGGACTCCTATGTGGTCTCATACGTCCGTTGCTGAGTGGCGGTATAAATAACATTTTTCCTACAGATGTTCTCACCTTGACAAATCTGCTTGTGGCATGTGGTGTGACGGCCCAAACTAATGCCTTTATTTATGTGCGTCGACCTCCGCCTGCTCATGTCCAAAGCGCTGCGATGTCAAGAACCGCCGTTGGTCTGATTGAGTAACTGAGCATGTCACTTGTCTAGAGAAAAACGTGAAACTATCTGATTAGATTAGAGAATAATCAGATAAGATTCTGCAAACGGACATGTTAAAGGGGATTTATGTTAGGTCAGATCTAGATACAGAACACCTTCGTTACGTTTTTATATAAAATCATTTGTAGTCATTGAAATTTCAGTCTGCTCAGTTCTGACTATGTTGACCTGTGTTAGGGCTTTCTGTCGCTTTAAATCCAAATAATCTGCTGCTGGCTGCGGTTCTGAACTCAACGGTTACACTCACACATGAAAATGGCTGCAAAAGGATGCACAATTATACGAGTCTTTGAAAAGCAGAGGTGGAGCCTTCCGCAACACCAACAAGAATGCAGCAAGTTCATTCTAAATAATAAGTAAACAACAAAACATTTTTGTCTTTTCCAGCAGCCATTGTACAGCTCTTGAACTGGGAGCAGAAGAAACCCAAATAAAAATACAAAAATCTGTAAAATGTGAATTTTCCATTATAGGTCCCCTTTAATGTACACAGAAAATGTATTTTCTAGAATGTTCTCTGTGCATTTCCATAAATATAAAGTGTTGTGTAGCTGTATATTCTACCAAGAGGTAAAATTAGAGGGAGAAAGAGTTCAGATGGTCTGAAGAGACAAACTGGACTGGGAGGCGCTGAAAACGCCTCCTTGAGGAATTCATTTATCTCAATGGGTCTCTTTGGTGAGACCCAACACGGAGTCCGTCATCGTCGCCTGTGGAGTCCCGCTGACATTTCCTTCATCGGTCCAACGCGTCTGAGCACTTAAGGCCAGACTCGCCCAAGAAACACTTGTCATCTACATAGTTCCCATAGCAGGCTGGAGGAGGGCGTCGCAGCAGAATCAGCGTCGCAGCAGAATCAGCGGTGCCAAGAATCTGCTGGAAAGACGTGAACGTGATTGTTTCATAGTGGAAAGATGATCTTATGGAGCAAACTTCTGACTTGTTTAGGATGACCGTTACGACAACTGGTGCTGATCATGGAAATCTGACAAATCAGAATCATTTATCACTGAAGCATCATGGGTATTTCTCACTGGTGTTAGTTTTACTCTCTGTTCTCTGCCCCGTCCCCCTCTGAACGCTGTCAGCTCTGTGGAACATGGGTTACGTTTATCTGAGCCGTCAAAGTGATGCTGCGTCCTTCATGACAGGGCGGGATGATTTTCCCACTGGGCTATAAAATGCATGTGTGGAACCATTTTTGAAGTAATAGTGAACCGTCTTGCAGACGTTACCAATGCTTGGATATAAATTCATGATGTGTGTGGTACGTTTTACATTCAGTCATTCTTTTCCCCATTCAAGTACTGCTGACTCAGAACTTCATGTTTAGCTGTTTTCTTCTGGGAAAACTAAATTTGTTTCTTTACGTCCCGTGGAAACTGCTCCCACCTCTGTGACTCTGTTTTTAGCCGGTTTCTTTCCATTGTGAAGCCACAGACAGGCGACTGCTGCCTTTCTCTTCATGTAGCCTGTTGTGTGTTTTTATTTCTTTGCTCCTGGCGCAGTGTTTTTGCATTTAGTTGTGTGTTTTCACACCTTACAGTTCATGCTTTGCTTCGATTGCGGACATAAATTGCAACATTTGTTCCATTTTCAGCTGCTGTGGTTCACTTTCACACTGCGCTGAGTCAAACGAACCGAGCCGTTTGAAAAACCTGTTCCCCTCCTCGCCTGTGGGGGCGCTGCACCAAAAAACCACTGAACGGATCAAAGCGGCTTCCTTCCTGACAAAATGGAAATAAATATGGAGTGACATCAAATTTTTAGCTGGGCTGCTAGGTAACGGCGCCAGTAGTTTTTTCATCGGTATTAAGGAGTTATTGATTTAAAACAAGCTCCTCTATCTTGCTGAGAAGCTTCTTGTATTGATATTTGCACTAGAAGCGAGACCAGAAATATCTTAAGATTTAGTATTTTTGCAGTGTAAATAAACTGTTTGGTCTTTTCTGGTTTATAGAAAACATGGAGCCCAGAGAATCAGTGATACTGCAGTAATGCATCTGTTAATGTTTGTTTTAATATCTTAACTCAAAGTCATTTTTATCCCTCTGTTGGCTTCAACGCAGGGAAGCAGAGCTGTGTTTTTTAAGTTGGCTTCTTCTGTCCTTTCTAAACAGGAAAATAAAAAGCGACAAAAAACGGGCCTTCCCTCTTTAATGCCACAGAGCTGAAGGACCAGATGCTCCTTTCACCCATCTCTTGTGCTTCTCTCTCCGTGATCTCTCCTCCAGGGCCGATTCTGCCAAGATGACGCAGCCCATGCGAGGGGACCAGGTCCACCAGCCGGCATCGGCTCGCAAGTCCTCCAGCCTGTCCTCGCCGAGCGCAGCTCGCCGGCTCTACCGCAACTTATCTGGAAAGTTTCGTGTGGGCACCAACCCCCCCGCTCTGGAGGACAGCGTGGTGTCGGCGCGGGGAGGAGACAAGGAGAGGCTGCGCAAAACCACCGTCGTAAGTCCAGGATGGGAACAAAACAGCCAGAGCAGCTTTTGAGCCACCTGCCTGACGAATGTCACCAAGAGAAAATCCCACTGCAAAAACACAAACCGCACTGGTTTCCAGTGCAATTAATTATCTTAATAAACTTGGAATAAGACAAAACTAACTTTACAGTAACATATGTGTTTCCTTAATATTGATGAAAAATTCTAATTAGACTAAAATTATTTTACTTAAAACATTTTGCTACTTTATGTGTCACATAATCAGCCAAGGAAGGTTTTTGTCAGTATTTACAAAAATCAAGCTCTTCAAATGCAACTAACTTTAACTTTTCAGTGAGATACAGGAGCTTGTTTTAAATAATAATTTTGTAAATATTGCACTACTTTCACTAATGGGGAAAATATTTTGTTATAAGTGAATTTATCAGCTAATGTAACTTTTTCATTAATAATAAAAAATTATATACTTAAAACAAATGTATTTATTTGTTTTGCTAAAAAGTTACTTATAAGTTAGTTTTGTCTAATTAATGACACTTTTAATACAATTTTACAGTAAAAGTTGCATTAAAACCAACTTTGCATTATTTGGTAAATAATGACACTTTTAATACAAAGTTCTGTTAGAATTTGCATTAAAACTCCGTTATAAGTGTCCATTTCTTCTGTGTGTCAGTTCCAGAGCAACGAAGCTTTGTTTGAGGCAGTGGAGCACCAGGAACTGGACCTGGTCCAGCTGCTGCTGTCCCAGTACAGCCTGGAGGAGCTGGACCTCAACACGCCGAACAGCGAAGGCCTCCTTCCTCTCGACATCGCCATCATGACCAACAACGTGCCGATGGCCAAGCTTCTGCTGCGGGCCGGCGCCAAGGAGAGCCCTCACTGTGAGTCGACTCGTCTCTGCAGCCGCGTTTCCAACACCAGCTGCGCAAAACTGGGGATGTTTCTTCTCTAATGTCAAACAAATACTAACTCACAATGGTGAACAAATAAAATCACACGGGAAAAAGTTTGTTCATACGATAAGTCACGTGTGTCAAACTGGAGGCCCGAGGGCCAAATCTGGCCCACCTGGGCTTTTTATGTGGCGCCAGGTGCCACGTTGCATCAGTCAGTTCACACAAAATCTACTGATAGCAGCATTTTTTTTCATGTTAGTTCTAAAATTTTAATATATTATCATTTTGCAAAAATGGTCAAAAACATTTAGCCTAAGTGATACTAACTCCCACCTGGAGGTGGCGGTATTTCTTACTTTTCCTCCACTGACGCCTCAGCCTCACTGCATTTCAAATTATCGTCTGCAGTCATTGTGGCAGGTAACAAAGTCACATTTTCACAGATATATTGCAAAATGTTTTTCTAATATTTCTAAATCAGCACAAGACAGTTCATTATTTCGATTGCAAAAAAATGAGAAAAATAATTATGAAAACCTGGATGTTTTATTTTACTTAATTCAAAGGAGAACTTATCCAAACCCTGGATATTTATTCATATTTTAACAGTTTCCTAATGGATTTTATCAGAACATTTTTCCACAAGCTTTAAGAGCTTTGATGATCTTGACACCATTGCTGTCATCAGAAAACACACTTCCTGTCGTCTTCTTCGTTTCTTCCACCAGTAGTGACATCCGGTCGTTGATCACATGACTCGTGCGACGCGATAGAAATGTTTCCATGGAAGTTTTATTAAAATAAAGTGATTTTTTACAAAATTATTGCTTTTCCATTAAGCAAATTTATGTTTGTCATCCCAATAAGGAAACTTAAATTTACCAATATGCTGTTTCTGACGCTGAGGTGCTAATGTTTTGAAGTGGTCTAGTCAAAGACTTTAAAAATTAAGGTTTTGGCTCATTTCCTTCTTGAATAAAAATCTGCTGGGGGTATTTATAACTTTGGGTGTAAATGTACTCCAGTTTTTCCCATCTTTACTAATAGGCGCTCATTTCTTTTTCTTGCACTGAAAACTGTGATGTAATATTAGTATCTTTGTCAGCACTTTTCATTTTCTGTGATCTGCGAGCCTCTGCTCCGTTCCTCTGTTAATGATTAGAACTCGCCAGTGAGGCTCCAAGGCTGTTTGTGTTTTTACCCGTGCACACACACACGTGCACACACGCACACACACACACACACACGCACACACACACACATGCACACACACACGCACACACACACACGCACACACGCACGCACACACACACACACACACACACACGCACACACACACATGCACACACACACGCACACACACACACACATTTTCAAGATCTGAGCCAGACGTCTTATAAAGGTATCATTAAATTGAAAACACTTGAATGGAAAGTGGTGATCAGTGAAGTTTTGCTCTTTGATTGGGCTTTCCATCCAGAACCCGAATCATTCATGAGACTGTTCACGCATGAACGGCTAACGGAGAGAAAGAAGAAGAACAAACTCTGCGATGTGCATGTTTTTGTTCCTGCAGTCGGGTTTCTACTGCTCCTTAGAAAAAAAAAATTAAAAAGGAGCAACACCAGACAGATTTTTTTTTTTTTTTTTTTGCCAATACGTTTTATGGTGTCTAGAAAATGAGCCGTTTCAAAAACCTTCTGAATTTAATGTCTCAAATCACCGAGCAACGCAAGCAGAGCCCAGAACCGTGACCTAGCAACCAAGATCTATATCTACTCAGATTATTTCACTTGTAACAAAACATTTTTCCCATATTATAAGTGAAATAATGGAACTAGAATTTTCCATCCATATTAAGGAATACTCGACTTAAAATAAGCTCCTATTTCTTTCTGGAAAGTTAGTTGTCAGTTAGTATTGTCTGATCTCCAGTGTGCTGAGAAACTTTAGCAGAAATACTTGGTGAGACTCGGTGTTTTTGTGGTGATGTTAGTCCAGGATTCCCGATAAAGAGCGTTGGAGTCGGAGCCGCAGAATTAAACACCCAGATGGACATTTTGACACGGAGCTCTAAACTTACTGTCAACAGTGGAATCTAACGCTCAGCGGTGGAATCTACAATGAACAAACGCAGAGCTGACAGACTAAACAGACCCGCAGCCGTCCCAAACACTCCAAGAAACCAGCAGCCACCAAAGGAGTTCAGCTCGCTACTGTCTTCTTCCTGTCTTTATGTGAACCATTTTCAGACTTTTATTTGAAATAATCTGCATGCTTTTGCCAGCGGAGCGTGCAAACGTCTCTGATCTGGGTCTCCTGCCTCTGCAGCCTCTATCGCCGACTGCACAGCCACGGCTTGAGTATTTTCATGGGGTGTTACATCTCATTAACTGCAGTGATGGGTTTCATTGTTCGCCGGATTGTGGCAACACCCTAAACCTCTCTAAGAAAACATTCCTCTGCTGTCTCTGTCAGGCTGGGTTCCATTATATAAATAGAACGGTGACACAAAAATTTCCATAATTTTTGCAAAAAAACCCCGAGAAGTTTTACAGCAGCCATCTGAGCTGATGCTCCCTCGTGCATATTCCCACCGCACCGAGGGACACTCCTCCCTCTCTCACTCGTTCGTACTTTCATTGCCCCATTTTCCCTTATTTTCTAGCTGATGTCATCCCCAGAGAGGCAGCTCAGTCACAATAAATGAACTTTATTGGAGAATCTGCCGCAGCATTTTGGCAAATAGGAATTAAACAGAAGTGCCCTGCTAAAGCGGTTTGCAGCCTGGCGGCTTTCCTTTGGGTTTTGGGGTTTTTTGGGTGCATATTTCAAAGTGGGAGCTAAGAATAAATTTGGCTGAGAATGTCATGAACCTCGAATTTTTATGCCTGTTACAAAGTTGCTGTGATCTGATTGAAAGAAATTAAACTTTTCATATCAGTACAAGGTGAAAAAGAGACCAAATCAACAACAGAGGAGAAACGGGCAGCAAACACTGCAATGGTGAGGATTTGATTGGAAAAACCTTTTAAGATTCTTAATCACACCAGCTCAGAAATGCCTCTACGACAGAAATATTCCTATTTGATATGAAAATCAAAATGCAATGCAAATCTTTGGGACTTTCCAGACATAAAAATAATTACTGTATAAATAGAGATACACTGCAAAAACACACAACTTAACAAGTATTTTTAGTCTAGTGTCAAGTGCTAAAATCTTAATACACCTGAAATAAAATCAAACTAACTTTTTGGAAAGAAAAAGAAGTTAGTTTTAAGTTAATACTTGGTCTTTTTGCCGCCCAGCGTTGTGCCTGCAGGGGGTCCATATGTTTTGTAGAATTTGCTGGTCATTCACCGGTTACTCTCTGTGTGTCTCAGTTGTTAGCCTGGAGGGCCGGGCGGTGCACTTGGCCACCTTGGTGCAGGAGGCCGAGCAGCGGGTGTCGGAGCTGCAGGCCCAGGTCCGCAGCGAGGGTCCCGGCGAACGAGAGGGGTCCGACCAGGAGAGGCAGCTGAAGGCCTGGGAGTGGAGGCTGCGGCTCTTCAGACGCATGCAGATGGGCTTTGAGCATGCTAGTAAGGATTTGATAACTCTCCTCCAGCGGTTATTTTTAGTCTTCATCATTCTGTCCAGCATGTTTCCTCTCCTGACTGTCTGCCGGTGGCGAGGTAAAGAGTCCCACCCTGGGAAACTCATTACCATGCGATCGTCAGCTGAGGGCAACTCCTCAGAAATAAATGATGCTTTGACTTTCCCCTGACTTTCATCATCCTGCCTTTTGTGAAAAGATGAGTTTGGTGGGTAAATAATGTAAAAATCCCAACTTCAAGCAGTGGTGAGCACAATTCTGCCTGCTAATGTCACAAATGTTTCATTCAGATCACTTAGCTTAAATGCTAAAGACGTTAAAATAAAGTTTTGTGACTTTCAGCTGACTGAAGATTTGTTAATAATTATTTAAGTTCTTATTTTGAAATCTGTTAGAATCTGTTTTTCATTTTCTCTCTCATTGTTTTTGTCTTTTTTACATTAAACTGAATGAATGACAAATGAGGTTCACAGGAAACGAACACATTAACAAACATCAAACTTGTTGATTAAAAAAACATGTAAAAATGAACATGAAGTGTGTCATTTGCCTTTTTGTCTCCACTCACGATGTGATGCAGAGCACAATTGAAATTAGCGCATTATTGTTAGCTTTCACTAATTACTGTGTTGGTGTTGCATTTCATTAATTACTTTCACTACATACAGTCATTTTGTAGCACATTATTGTCCTATAATGTCAGAATAGCTCTTTAGCATTGGCAAAAATTATGTTTCTAATGCTTTAGATTAGCGCAACTAGCTTTTAGTTAGCATTGCCCACCTCTGCTGCTCAGGTTGGGCTCTTTGTCAGCAGTTTTGTCTGAATTAAAGGTTGTGAATCTTCTCTGTCAGTTTACTCCTCTGTTCTGCTGTCAGACCCTCCAGATGCTCCCAGTCAAGTTCTGCTGTCTGTTAGCAGCAGCTCCAGTTTACAGGTTGACTTCCACGAACCTGCCTGCGTCAACTCCGCTGTGGTCACCAAGTACAAAGGTCAGCGGCTCTTAAAGGAAACGTCCGCTCAGTTTATCGACCGGTTGAACGTTTCTTCTGATTAACTAACATTTGTTGTGATTGTGAAGTGTGTTGGAGCGCGGCGCCTTCATTCAGCCCCATGCTGGGTGAAATGATGGTGGACGATGCAGCGGCGCCACAGTGCAACATCACTGGACTGACTTCTGTGAGTTCTTCTAGAACCTGTTAATGTTTTCTGCTTCTCGGTTCTGACTTGAATTACAGGGACAGATTTAAAAACTTACATCCAAAAAACTGTTTAAATGACTTTTGGAGCAAATTTCCATTTAAAATTATTGGTGAGAATATGCAAAGAAAACTAAAAGCATCTTCTCTGACTGCAGCAGCAACATCTCAGAGGAGAAAAATCTTTAATTAGGTTTCTCAATTCTGTGGATTTGGTTTGTTTTGTTTGGGAAGATGGAAAGTGTAATAAACTCTGATGAGAGCCAAAAAAGCGAACTCTGGTCCACCTAAAAACCTCAGTCTGGTGTGGCTTGAATTCATGTGTGAACACCGCGCAGATCAGAGGTGAACTTTAGCGCAGGGCATTCTGGGTAAGCACAACCAAAACAAACTCGCTAGGCTAATGCTAGCAGGAGAAATGGCCTAAAGAAAAAAGAGAAATCCTCCAATCACTAGATTCTGATGTCACTCCATTTTTGTTTGCATTTTGTGAAACAGGAAGTTGCGCTCAGTGTCTTTTTCAGAGGTTTTTATGTTATTTCTTGGTGCAGCGCCCCCACAGGTGAGGAGGGGAACAGCTTGGTTTGTTTGACACAATATGAAAGAGAACCACAATGTAACTAATGTTGCAGTTTTAGTTCCCAATCGAACCAATTTGGTGTGAAAACTGCCTCAATCACTTATCAATACTTCTGTTTACAAAACTCCCTCATGTCAAACTTTTGCTGTGAATACTTTATTCATTTCTGTTTTACCAATCAGAACGCTTCATTTTCCTTCTGGATAAACTTTTTGGATCACCATCCTGCTGAATTCAGATTTTCTTGGCCAAAACCAATAAAATCAGTTAAATCAACGAGTTCCTGAACTGGCCCACAGGATGATGGATCCTCCACCGTATTTAACATTGATCACTAAGTGCTTCCATGTCATTAGGACAGAAAAGACTTTTTCCTGACAGCCGTACCAGCAAATGCTCAGCAATGCAGCAAGTATCTCTAGCTTTTATATGTTTTGGTGTGGAGGATTGTTGTACTGCAGGATAACATGAATTTATTTGAAGGCTCTTTGCTCAGAGAGTCAACAGACAGACATATTCCCCCTGCTAATCCATGATAAACAGCGTCCTACTGAAGCAGTTGCAGTTGAAGTTTATTCATGACAAGGAAACAACTGTGTTGCTGCTTCTCCAGCTGTTGTGAGGAAATTCACAAGCTATTCTCCCACAAGTCAGCCCCTACTATTACATACGTACCAGCTTGAACCTGGAAACTATTTAGTATTTTATTCAAGATGTATTTCTAGATTCTTCTGTGATAGACGTTTAAATCCGACTTTGAGAAAGAGGTGGGATTCAGCTCCCTCACTGATTTATGTTTGCCGATTTGAAGCAGACAGACAAGCGGACGCTCATTTTTATTCGTCATTATGTGAGAAAAACCGCCCCCACCCTCCCATTTAAAGTCCCAACCAAAGGGCTCTCCTGTCACATGACAGAGGTCAAGGTGGGGTCAGCGGATCTTGGCGGCTGCTCTTATGGATCGGGCTGAGAAAAGAGAAACCAGAGCCTCGTTGTCTGCAAACCGGAGCTCAGACAGAGGACCGATCATGGAGATTTACATCCACTTCTCCTAAAATAACCTTTAACTAAGTTTAATTGGATTTAGTCCATGAAATCAGATCTTTGGGTGTCATGTTGGATGGAAACCGCAGAATAAAATCAAAACGTGTTTCTATCTTTGGAATGAGGTCTGCAAATTTTATTTATTTTGTCTAATACTCTCACATCTGACTTATTGTGTGAACGAATACAAAACAAAACCCAAATAAATAAATAATGGTCGCACCATTATTTTAAAAATCAAATGTTTTAAATTCTGAATCATTTAAACCTTAGAAACTCGTATTTAATGTAAGAAGCCATCAACTTCCACACAATATATAAAAAAAAATGCTGTGACAGAGAAGGAGTGCTTTAACTTAAGAGAAGAATTAAAAAAAAGAAGTTTTGTATGTTTTCAGTGTTTTGAGTCAATTTATGGAAGGGATCAAAAAAAAAGTTAAACCAGGTTAAAAAAGTATTTAAAACGGAGCTTATTGGGGAAAATGGACCAAAAATGTTAAAAAGTGCAAATAATTTTACATTTAAAGATGAGAATGTGAGGTTTAAATTTAAGATTTTGTTTAAATAAAGAAAGAATCTTTTCAACCAGATCATGTAAAATTTGTTTCATTTTTTCTTGTTTTTATATTTTGTCTGTCCAAAATAAATAAAATAATCGTAATAATGATTGTAATGTGCGTCTATAAGATGAGTTGTTCCAGTAAATTGTGCCTACTTGTCGTTTGTAGGGAACCCATTACTATGTGCAGGTGTCAGCCTACAACATGAAGGGCTGGGGCCCGCCCACGCTCTCCACCCCGGCCTGCGCTGCACCGTCCAGTAAGTCTCCGTTTATTTGTCTTCATGTGTCCTGAAGACGGAGGAACAGACCGGGGTGATTTTCTCATCTTCTGTCTCTACGTTCAACTGGCCGAGCTCCAAGGCAATCACTGCTAATTGGCAAATTAAATTTGAGTCTTTTAATTTAACTCTGATACAACCATTAAGTTGAATTAAACTATTTTCCAATTGACAGTGAACAGAAGTTAAACTTGCCGTTACTCTACAAACTCATCCATCCGACGTGTCGAAAAGCAGCCGAAAAAAAACCTCCATGCTGTTTTTCAGCAATAACTTCATGTTTTTGGTGTCTAGAAAACAAGCTGTATAATTGTAATGTTGCCTAGCAACCCCAGCGGAACTCCACTGGTCACCTAGCAACCCCAGCGGAACTCCACTGGTCACCTAGCAACCCCAGCGGAACTCCACTGGTCGCCTAGCAACCCCAGCGGAACTCCACTGGTCGCCTAGCAACCCCAGCGGAACTCCACTGGTCGCCTAGCAACCCCAGCGGAACTCCACTGGTCGCCTAGCAACCCCAGCGGAACTCCACTGGTCGCCTAGCAACCCCAGCGGAACTCCACTGGTCGCCTAGCAACCCCAGCGGAACTCCACTGGTTACCTAGCAACCCCAGCGGAACTCCACTGGTTGCCTAGCAACCCCAGCGGAACTCCACTGGTTGCCTAGCAACCCCAGCGGACAGAAGTGGCCTCCTGTTTCCTGCAGCCTCTGCAAAAACAGAAGCTGCTACTAAGTGAAACTGTTTCCATTATTTTGAAAGGACAAGCAAAATGTTCCATTTATATTAGTGGAAGAAATCAGATTAAAAATGTTGCATTGGAAAAACGTGGCACAATGTTCACTTTGACGAGTTTCTGTTTTTTAATGATGACTTGACTGAGTTTTCCTCTCAGGTTTTACAGTGTTTGATGGACATTCAGTCTTTCAATGTGAATCTTGGCGTGTAAATTGTGACGTCATTTTGTGTATTCATTGAAAAAGAAACGTGTTGTTAGAATCAAACCTGTGTGTTTCTCTCTGGGTTATTTCTGCTGTTAAAGTTTCTCCAGTTGTTACATTCCTACTGGAACAGAGAACAAGCCAAACACTCTGTCTTTGTGGTTCTACTGGTTCTCTCCTGGCACATCTGGGGAACACATGAACATGTTTGTGCTCATCAGCACACACTGTTTTTCAGCCCGTGTGTATGTGGTGTCGGTTTAGTGAAACTAGGCTTTCCCTCTCGCCCGCCTCCCTCCGTCCCTCTCGGAGCTAATTTGGATGTTGCGTGTTTGTGTTTTCCATTTGGGCCTACCACTGGAAATATTTGCATGTCTGTGCTGCAGCGAGCGGCACGGCCCCAACAGTGGGGGCCTTATGCCGGGCCGTAGACGCCCGTTAAAGGGCCCGCTTGTCTTGTCGGGACAGGCACCTTTCCGGGAATAGAGGGCACCGTGTTTCGGCCCGTTGCACCCCCCGGGGGCTCAGGAGGAAGGTGGGGTTCGGGATGAGGGTGATGGTTGGTCAGGGTGGGTTATCGCTGACTCATCCTCCTGTAGTCACACAAAATGTGCTGAAGAGTCTTTTTTTTTCTGAATAGCCACTCTTGCATAACAAGAGAGATTGGTTTGTTTTTATAGGACAACTATTCTTTCGGTGCGTTTGGATCATTTGGTTAAAGGGGATCCATTACGCAAAAATCACATTTTGCATGTTTTTGTATTTCCATTTGGGTTTCTGCTGCTTCACACAACCCAGATGTTGTTCGGCACAATATTCATGTTTTTTGTTGTCTGAAAAATGAGCCCTTTCAAAAACCTCATTCACACCAAGCAACCACAGCCCCGTTACCTAGCAACCCCAATTAGGGCTGTTGCTCTGCCCCTAGCAGAGCTGCAGCACATTTGGTCAGCTGGTTTTACCGCTGTATGCACTGTACAACGGCTGCTGGAAAAGGCAAAGTGTTTATTCTTTACTTGCCACTCAGAAACTGCTTTTCAATGAGGCGCGGTTGTAGAATAGTGCCTCTGTTTTCACATGTGACTGTAAATGTTGAGTTGGTGGGCGTGGCCAGCAGCTTATTTGGATTTAAAGTGACAGGTCGCCCTAAAACGGCTCGTTCTGAAAGGAGAACTGGAATGTCATCATCTATAAATTATTTTGTATAAAAAAATTAAATGTTGATGATAAACATGTTTCAGGATCTAGATCTGTGCCAACCTTTTACAGGAAGCATCATAGGTCATACTTAATAGTTTGATCAATCTTTGCAGAGCAACTGGATGAAAACCTTTGCACTGACTAAAAAGTGCTTTGTTTGTGTGGGACTGTTGATTTAGGCGTGTACTTCCCACACTTTCCAGTAATTATTTGTTACACAATATAAAACAAATTACTTTGATTCCTAATGAATCTGCCAAATGTCTGGTTGGTTCTTTCACTGCAGAGACATGAAATCATCACAAACCATCTTCTGTGAATGGAACCTTTGGCAGCAAAAAACGTGACTTGATATAAATTAAACACATTTCCAGTAGACATATTTATTCATTTATTTTTGTACGAAAACACAGTAAAGTATTTTGTGTGGCGCCGATGCTGCTGCTTTATCCCCACTGGTGACATAATCTCATTGGATGTGGAAAGTGTCGATGCATTTCTGAGGCGTTTTGTCGTCGTTCTGCAGGCTGGAGGGACGTGGACGGCCACCCGCCACGCCAGAGAGGCCAGAAGGAGGCGCTGGACCAGCTGCTCGGTCAGATCAAAGAAGCTCATCGCCACTGCGGGTGCCACGGTGATTTATTCTGACATTAAATTAGTCTTTACTGTTTGTATCCCAGAATTGGGGAATGTTTAAGTTCGTCTTCAAAAACCTTTTAAATTTATCCCTTTTAGTTTGTTAATATTTTTTTTAACATTATGTCTCACAATATGGTAGAGAAGCCAGAAATTGTAGGAAATAAGGTTTTTGGTAAAATAAATAAATAAATAAACAGAGTAACTGATGAAATTATCAATCATTTTATATCTAAATATTACATAATTAGATTTTGTTATTTTAACGAACAAAATGACAATAATTTGTATAAGAAACAAAAAAAAGAAAATCAGGCAAAAGAAACTTTTCAGCAAGATATTGGAGCTTGTTTCAAGTCAATATTTTTTAAATATTAATTTAAAAAAATATCTCACATAAGTCATTTTCTTATGAAAAAAATCTGCCAGTGGAACTATTAATATTCATAACTTAAAATAAGCTTTTATGTTTAGTTTTGTTGCATTTCAACATGGAAACTAGACACATTTTGTTTATGCAGTGCAAAATGCATCACTGTAGAATAAACACTGCAAAAACACAAAATCTTACCAAGAATATTTCCCAAGTTTCCAGAGCAAATATCTTAGTTTTGTTACTTAGAAGTAACTTTTCAGCAGGATGTGGGAGTTTGTGTCAGCCAATATTCCTTATTATTGATGAAAAGGTTCCACTGGCAGATTGTGTCACTTAGAGAAAAAAATTTGTTTTAGTAAAATAAATTTTCTTTTTCATCAATATTAATTAATGTTTTACTTAAATTAATATCCTATATCTCACTGAAAAGTTACTTGTCAGTTATTTTTGTCTTATTTCATGTAAACTAAGACATTTGCACGATCAAGCAGACCAAAATTATTTTGAGATAGTTTGTGTTTTTGCTGGTTTAAAAGGTAAAAGCAGAAACCGTTGCGTTCCAGTAATAAAGGCTTCGGCCACTAACCCGAGCGGCTGTCAGTGGAGCAGATCTGCAGTTTCAGTCTGAGGAAACCGCTCAGCGTCGCAGGTGCAACACGTTTTCACTAATTGCTGTGTTTCGTTTCACCTTGACGGACACTTTACAATCTGAGGCATGACAAGTACTTGAGGCTGCGCACACACCGAGATGGCATGCCGCCTCCCCTCGCCCTCCTGAGTCTTTCCATGACTCAGCCCTCGCTGCTGAATGCTTCTCTCTCTGTGACAAAATGCAGATCAACGTCTCTCACACTCGAGCTGTTTATATCCCCAAACACTGCCGCCTGTGCGCCGGCCCCATAAGTGTCAGAATCTGTCCACGCCGACCCGCTTTCCGCTTGACAGCGAGCCGCGTTTACTGTTGAGCGAAGTTGTCTCAAACACCACTTACTATTGTCCTCTGTGGCTGCGCCGCATTAGCAGCGGACTCAGATGCAATATAATAGTCAGTATTGAGTGGCTCTCGGTCTGTCAGACGGCAACTGATTGAGCTTGAGAGTTCAGGCACGGTAGTCAAGGTGGCGTGTCCCCCGGGTCATGTTTGTTATTCCTGTAACAGACGAGTCTCAGGCTGGAGTCTGAGAAGAGCATAAATTAACACCGACTGCCGCTGCCTCCCTCTCGCACCCCCCACGGCGAACCAGCCGTCTTGTCTACTGTCCACACATATACTGTAAACTTGCACGTAAAGATAGACGGACTGGGACACGAACTGACACAAATATCCAAACACATGCTCTCTCGTTCAGCTCTGGCTCGCCCTGCCCCCACGCCTCATCCCAGCCTGGCTTACGGCCCACACCTCCTTCTGCCTCTTGTCCAAACACTATTAATTAAACTGTGAAAGAGGCCTTGACTAACACAGCCTCCCCAGCAGTCAGCCCTACTTGTCTGTCTTACTCAGTGTCAACCAGGGACTGAGGCCAGCAGAGTGTTTGATGGGGAGGTGAGGGCAGAAGGTGCAGACTTTTTCTGCTTACTTCACCTTGACGTGAAGAAAATGAGTTTGTTTTGCATCTCAGATGAAGAGGATGATCACCTGGGATCCTCTGTGTGTCTAATGAGGCTAAAGCAGCAGTAACAAAATGTTACCAAATATCTTTGGTCTAGTTTCTAGCCGTCAAATATCTTTGGACTAATTTACAAGTTACTTTTCAGCAACATATAAATCAATAATTGACTTAAAGAAGCTCCTATGTGTTGCTGAAAAGTTACTTGTAAGTTTAGTTTGTCTTATTTCAAATGAACCAAGAAAAATCTGTGATTAAATGGTTTAGCCCAACTGCCAACATGCATATCAGAGCTGTAGCAGACGATTATTTTAATAGCCAATTAATCTGTCAATTATTCTGACAATTAGGTTAAAAAATGTCACATTCTACAGATTTTTCATTTAACCACTCAAGCCTTTTCCATACATTTCCAGATATATGTCAAAATATGCAAATGCATAATTCAATTCCTTCTTTGAAGAAGAAAATAAACATTTTATTGCCTGAAATTCAAAACCAAACCATCAGGGGTTGAAATAAACTACATACAAAAGTGTTTTAATCATAAATGTCTTGGTTTAATTTCTGCTCACAATATGTTTTTCACCAAACTGGATAATAAACTCAGTGATTTATCAATTACTAAATTAGTTGAAAGTTATTTCATTAATGAAGTTATAAAGATTAATCTGATTAATCGCTTCAACCCTACATGCATGCATGCCTCTATATATATATATATATCTATATATATATAGATATATATATATATATATATAAACCTCTCCCTCTTGCCTCCAGCCCCTTGTGGCCCTGTATAAATAAACATTTCCCTACAGACCTAACTGACCTACCTGTCAGCTAATGGCTAAAGGTTAAGACACAACTGCATGAATTACCCAGGTTTCTGGAGTCTACACATAGACTCCACTCAAAGCCGCCACAGTGAGCGCATGTAAACAGACAGACACATGTACACACAGTTAGTGCTCCCCTGAGACGCTGCAGCTAGTGGCTCCCTGTAGGCCAATAGTCTGCCGGCATGACTGCTAAATTGTGCTGCACCACACTAGAGCAGGGGAGGCGAGAAGCAGTCGGCCATGTTGTTGGACCTGTCAGGTTTGTTGTCAGTCACCTAACAGCCTGTCGCTGGAATATTTAAACCTGGGCCTCATCAGGACAGAGCAGAACCGACCGAGCGTCGGGTCGGTGAGGGGAAGGACCGGTGGGTCCGAGTGACTCAGGATCATAAGAGTTCAGTAGAAACTATTTACTTTTTTTTTATGTACTTTAAGGAGGTGGTTTTCTACTCTTTATTTTTTACCTTTATTTGAGTGATTTTATATTGAAGTGTCTCTTCTCTTGAGTGAAATTTCTGGATTTTCTACTGAATGAAAAACAAAATGTTGAACCAAAAATCCAACAAACTCTAGATACACCTGCAGTTTCTGCTAAACTTTCATATTTTTTTAAATAATTTTATATTATATTGTATTATATTATATTATATTATATTATATTATATTATATTATATTATATTATTGTCATTTTGGTTTTTAAAATACCAACATTTCCACTCACTTTTATATTTTGATCCATCTGATGTCTTTTTAACATATTGAATTATTGATCATTTGATCAGTTACTCAGTACTTTTTACCAAATACCTTTTTAAGTAATTTCTTGGGCAGCTGCTTTTTACTTTTATTTGGATAAAAATATGTTGCAGTATCACTACTCCTGTACTCAGGTTTTGGATCCTCTGCACACATCTGCTAAGCTTTAATATCACTTTGCAATTCATCCCAGTAAAACCTTGAATTGGTGAAAATTGGCCAGTATCATTATTAATTTCTCAGATCTCTCTAAAACCAAATAAACCAATCAAACTGCAAACCAACACCAATAATGGACATATTGTTGCTAAACGGGTAAACGTCTTATAACTATGTGTTAAGACTCAGCCGGTTTTTTCCCACAGAGCAATGCAAAGCGCCAACACAAGGCAGGAAGCACTCTGTATCCAAAAGCCTCCGGCATCTCTTCCAACCCAACAGCAAATTCGTAAAAAGCCTGAAAAGGTAAGCTAACGTTCAATAAGAAGCATCAGACGTTCATCTTTTAATGATTATCTCTAAGATGTGTCATTATTTTCCAGCAGATAACTTTTGTTTTTCAGTATTTGGCCTGATTTTAGTTGCTGAAGCTCAGTTTTGTTTTCTGGCTGTGCTCCTCTGCAGAGGTCTCTACCTGACCTCCATATTCTACAGAGATGACAATGTGCTGGTGACTCCAGAGGACCAGATTCCTGTGGTGGAGATTGAAGATTCGTACTCCAGCAGCCTAATGCAGGACTTCCTTTGGTTTACCAAGGTAGAAAACAGGAATGTGTCCTGAATATCGGTTCTCCAACCTGCACTAGCAAAGCATCAATCCTCCAGAGTCACCATGGATCTACGGACTGTTTCCCAACCAATGTGCTCTATAGATGTAGAGACTCAGGAAAGTGTTTACTACACTTCTCCTTTGACTTCATGATTGTATACTTTGTGTTTGCTTATCATATACAATTTGGGGTTATGGCATGACGAAAGTGTTCAGAAGGTATGTTAGCTTTTGCAAAGAGCTACTTAGCTAACAACTACATCAGGTTTTGAGACACAAAGACAATTTCTATAATATTTTCAAGGTTTCCCCCTGAAAACTTGCTAAGCCTGGTGGCCGCGCTGCCCGCCGTGTCTCCGAGTTAAAAAATGTTTAAAGTTGACAGGAAATTGGAAAATATAACTTGATAATTATGTCTTTGGAAGTTTGGATCACCAACTATAAAGTCTTAAAAAATGCAAACATTTAAAAACACTTAAATAAGTAAGCAATGCTAAGCCTGGTGGGGGACCAGGAAAAGCCTGGTGGAAAAGAAAATCTTTCCAGGCTTATAATTTACTGAGGAAACCCTGATTTTATTTCAACTGATGCATAACACCGGTCATGAACACGAAGAAGTCTTCATAAATGTCTGACTGTTGTCACCAAGTTTCATTTGGTAAATAATAACACTTAATTTAAATTTTAATGCAACTTTGCTTTTAAACGTCATTATTTACCAATTAAGACTTCACTTAGTCTTATGCACAGCAAATAAAATATTGTCAAATTTTCTTCCATTTCTTTGCCTGAAAATGTGTAAAACTTGAAAATAATGCACATTAAACAGTATTTGAAGGTTTCCAAGGTGAGTCTTGACCTTGGTCCTCAAGCATGTTTTAGAAGTTTCCCTGCTTCAGCAACACATTATTTAGATTATTTAGATTAACAGATCTGGTTATTGTGTGCAGTTTTTGTTGGAAGCCACTTTGACTCATAACCTTGTTGCAGGTGTCGTACTTATGGGAGGAGATATCCTGGCTCCAGCAGTGTCTCAGTCCCTCTCAGTCCTCCTGTTCATGTACCCTGCAGACCCGTCTGAAGATGCTGCAGGCCGTCTCCCAGCTGCAGGTAGCCTGATGGTTCTACAAGCAAATATTCAGAACCATCACCCGACGTCTTCCTCTTTTTGATAACTCTTGGCGCTTCTGTTTTTCAGGGAATGCTGGGAACGCAGGACCTTGGCCAGGTGTATTTTGAGCCCATCAAAGACAAACATGGCAACGCGCTGCTGGTCCTGCTGAAGGACATGAACGCCTGCCCCAACCTGGACGGGGTGCGCTGGACGCAGCTCTGCAAACTGCAGCTGCAGCGCAAGTCCATCTCCTCCCCCGAGGAGCCCACGGCTCTGGACACGCTCCTCATCACGCTCCACGTGAGTCGCACAGACGGGACGTCAGCTCAGCGCGGCACAACGGTTATTTCTGTTTCTCAGAGTTTCCTCAGCAGTAAGGGATGGGATGGAAGGCAGAAAGCCTCATTCTTGTTGTTTTGCCTGAACAGAAATTTGGATAAATTAAAGGTTACAAAGAAAGACAACAAAATGTTTTCCCTGAAATTTCGAGGGCTACAAGTAATGATTATTCTGACGATTAATCGATTAATCGGATTTGAAAAATTGGTCCATTCTGCATGTTTTTCATTTAACCACTTTCGGCTTTTGGCTAAAACTTATTTACAGATCAAAGTTTTTAATGTTAAATGCAGTATCTATTTATTTTTTGTAGTTTGTACATGTTTTTTTTTCACCAACTGGGTGTCTGTATACTCTAGTCAACAATTAAATGATTGCCAATTTCAATAATCGATTAATCACGATTAATATGATTGTTTCAGAAATTTCTGTCATATTTTGAAACGTCTCATTCAGAGAAATGAGACGTTTCTCGAAAACGTCTCATTTCTCTCATACTGTGACCTCGAAAACCCGAGGCCGCAGTAATAGATCTGTAAACTGAAAAGTGTGTCCAATTACAAGTCCCTCCAATCACTGTCACCCATTTAAACAAACATCAGTTACCATTGTTTGTGAGAAATGAATGAATCCACAGCGAGCGATCGGTATTTTACTGTTTAAGCAGAAGAAGTCATAAATTTTGTACTTTGTAATTATTACCTAACAGTTGTTTCTGAATCTTATATAACTGATGTTTTGTTCACTGAAGTCGCAGCGCTGAAGGGAACCACAAGCTGATTTCCAAAACCTGATAGCATTGTTGCAATGCTGTTTTCGTCTCCAGTGTGCGCTGGTTCTGTTCTTGTGGTTCTGAAACAATGGTGCAGATTCTTCTGGCGAAACCACAGCTCACTAAAGTATTTGTCTTGTGGCGCGTTATGAACAAATTGCACTATGAAAAAAAGGATCATTTTCAGCCCTGATTTAAGGTTGAGCTGCATGGAAACCAGCGTGTTCTGATGGAGTCTGCAGGAATGCTTCCCAGCATGCTCTCTGCTGTTCCCAGGAGAAGTTGGCCTATCACAGGCGCAGCAGGAAGCTCCTGTCTCCGGGTTTGTACCTGGGCTACCTGAAGCTCTGCACGTCGGTGGAGCAGATCAGGGTTCTGGTGCCGCAGAAGCTGCCCAACGTTCTCTGTCACACCAAGATACGGGACAACGGCAACGTGTCCAGGTGGGAGGAGCTCCGAGCCTTCACTGTAAAAACTAATGCAGCGCACAACTCCAATTAAACTAACATAAAAGTGTTGCGCTTTTTTTGAATTTCCTAAAGTTTACAGAAGAGGATTAGAAAGACTGAAAAAATAATCCTGACTAATATGAGATCAAAGTCAGGAAATTCCTCCAAATTTTGAATTTTTCTCAGAATTTCATAGTTCTGATATTTTTCAAAATTCTACATTAAGTTCAGAATTTTTTTCTCAAAATGTGAACTTTTTTCTTCGTATTTTGACTTTTTCTTAGAATGTTTGTTTTTTTTCCAAAATTTTGACTTTTTTCAGAATTCTGACTTCAATCTCAGAATTCTTTTCTTGTTTCAAAATTTAGACTTTTTCTCTGAAATCTGATTTAATATTTTTTTTAATTCTCAAAATTGTAACTTTTTTCTCAGAATTCTGACGTTAACCTCAGAGTTTTTGGGGGGGGGGTTTTTTCAAAAATTCTGACTTTTTCTCAGAAATCTGACTTTTTCCTCATTCGGTCTTATTAAACATGCACACTTAAATATTCCTGTCATCACGTCTTGGTACCTGAAGCATTTATTAGTGTAACATGGACAGCCGCTGTGTAGCTGAGCTGTAATAACTCTCAGTTGGTTTGCTCCTCAGAGAGGAGTGGCAGTGGCTGCAGGCTCTCAGCTCTCTGGATGAAGCTCTGGAGATGGACCAGGACGTTCAGAGCGCGCCGCATCGCCTCTTGCACGACCTGCGCGCCGCAGTCAAGGACCTGATGGCACACATCAACATCCCTGGAAACCAGGTGAGTCCAGAAGCAACGGTCAGGCAGCAGAATCAGAAATCAATCTGCTCTGTTGCTGCACTTCCTCCGCTGCAGCATCTTAAAGTGAAGTCCTGAGCAGAACCTCTCCACCGCCTCTAACGTCGCCATTTTGCTTCCCAGCAGCCAAAGTTTCATGCAGTTTTGGTTTGAATCATTTGCTCTGCAGAGTTTTTTCTTCCACAGTTTTTCTTTGGTTGTTTTTCTGTCTGGTTCAAAGAATCTCCAGCAAATAAAGAATAAGTGCAAGATATTAAACCATTTTCATTGGCGTTCCACCTTTTGTTGATGACAATCTTTAACTTCGACTTTTGCATCTCTTAGAGAAAATATAATCCTCCAACAAATAAAAAAAATTACCAGAATGCTGCAAAAAAAAAAAAGTTTCCAAAATAATTTTGGTTTAGTTTCTCATGAAAATATTTTAATATACCTAACATAAAAGTAACTTTTCGTCAAGATATAGGACCCTGCTTAATATTGTTAAAAATAATACTGTTTCATTGGCAGATTATTTCATTTATAATAAGATAAAATAATCTTTCATCAATATTAAAGAGTTATTGTCTTAAAACAAGCCTTTATATATTGCTGAAAAGTTAGTTTTTATTATTTTAAGTGTACTAAGATATTTGCACTAGAAACTGGACAAATATATTTGGTAATATTTTGCTTTTTTCTAGTGTGGAAAACTCTTTGAAGCAATTATAGAATATAAAAACAGTTTATTGAACTTTCTGCATAATTACCATTGATAAGTGAAGCCTGAGCTGTGAAATATAAAGAAGTTCCTGTAAATAGTTGAGTGTAAATAGTTTTTAAGAGAACAATAATGTAAAAAGTCTGTTCACAGAGCTGTGTTTCTCCAGGCTCAGGATTTCCGGATCTACAGCCAGGAAGTGTTGGAGTTTGGAGAAAAGGTGTCCTTCCTGCTGCTGCTGCCGCCTTCAGATGACGTGTGCACGGCTCCCGGCCAGAACCAGCCGTACTCGCCCCGGTCCGGACTCCTCACGCTGCCGCTGCAGAGCTTCGAACTCGGTCAGTGGATCCGGAGTCGGCTTCCTTCTTGACCACAGACTTTATCAGGTGAAACCGACGCCTGGAACCGAGCCGCGTTTCCACCACCGAGGATTAGAGCCAATAAACGGCGAAACAAAGAGGAGGAGAATATTTCAGCTAAAAATATCTAGAAAAATTAAGAACATTTCTGGGCTTTGAAAGTCAAACTCTGCTAGAAAAAACTCAGTAATTAAATTCACAAATGTACTAAAAACATGGATAATTCTGAGTTCAAAATTGTTGACTTTGAAACTCAGAAATGTCCTGTTTTTCTCAGAAAATGTCTGAGGTTCATCTCAAAATTTGTCAGTTTTCTTTGAGCAAATTTTTGACTTTTCAAATTAAAAATTTTCTGGTTTTTCAGATTTCTGGGTTTAAAGTAATATTTGAGTTTTTTTCTAGCAAATGTTCGACTTCAAATTCAGAAACATTCTCACGCGCTGCGACGGCTTCCTGCGTTTCCTGACTCTGTTTCTGCCTCCTTCCAGTCCACTTCAACGCGTACTGGCCCGGTTTCATCGGCCAGTACTGCAGAGTGTCGGCGCTGCTGGAGCTGGAGTCGCTCATGTCGCAGCAGGCTCTGCGGGAAGCGTTCTCCGAGGCCGAGCTGCTGGCCGCCAAGAAGAAGCACCAGCAGGTCCAGGAGCAAATGCAGGTATCAGAAGTTTTTTCCAGATCATTTCTGTTTTTCGAAGAAATTTATGTGATGTTACATTTTGTTTAATCATATTTCTATTTCTGAATTCACAGATTTTCTTTTATTCTCTGTTGGGAACAAAGCATGAGAAAACAGTTCAAAAAATATTTTAAACTATTTCTAGAATATTGATAAGATTTAAAAAATTTACTTTTCAAGCTCAGAATTGTTTTTTATGGCGAACGTAAGAAAGAAAATATTTCAATCATTTTTTATTGCAACAATGTTCAACAAATTCCAGATTAAATTCAAAACGTCTGAGTTTCTTCCAGACAATTTTTAACTTCAAACTTTTTGTTTTTCTAGGAATTTACTTTGATTATTATGAAACTTTTAGTTTCGGGGGAAATTTTACTTTTTTTTTTATTACAATTTCTTTAATTGTACTTCATTCAATCACTTTTTTTAACTTACCTTTTTTTGGGAGAAAAAACAATTATACTTTTTAACACTAATTGAGTTTTTCCAGGACAATTTTCAATACATTTCTGATTAATCCGAAAATTTCAGACTATTTTTCCAGGAAAAATTGTAACTTCAAAAAGAATTTTCTAGAAAATTTTCTGGATTAGATTTTTTTGCATTCCTTTCCTCCCTGTCTATTCACAATATATCCCTAATATGCAGTAATATTCATGATGAGCTGAATTGATTTTCTGCAGCAGATGGAGGAGATGTGGCGGGACGCCCGCTGGATCATGGACGCCCTGCAGTACGCCCGCTACAAGCAGCCCACAGGAGGAATCTCCATCAGCTGGATCATAGACTTCTCTAAAGAGGTTCTGCCAGACAAACCGGCCTCCACCTCGTCCCAGCCGGACTTCATGCCTTCCCCCACGCCCTCACCAGAACCCTGCCGCAAACACTCAGGTCAGAAACCCCTGCAGACGTTCTATACTCTTATTATTTATTTTGCATTATATTTAGAGATTGTAATTGCAGTTTCTGAACCAGTTTCACATTTATTTCTCTGTTCTGCTCCTAATTTCACTGAAAGCTGTTTTTGCATATTTGACTGTTGGTGTTTTAAAAATGTGCTGCACTAGTGCAGAGTTATGATATTAATATGCAACTCAGTTCATCCATGTTTAAGTCAGTTCAGCCATTTTTCCGTATCGGATCAGTATCAACCGATACGTCAGATATCGGTATCGGACGTGAACACAGTGGATCAGAGCTGCAGTAGTTGTGATCTGACAAAATGTGACAAAGCTGAAGTGTTTTTATGTCTGTCATGATAACAAATGTTGCTGGATGATAACTTGTTCTGGAAGTTATTGTGATAGACGGTGATATTGTTATTTTAAGAACATTTTCAAGTAATATAACGGTAATAATATCATAATAATGCAAGAGCATATTCTCAGATTTATACACTTTAAATTCAAAATAGATGAATTATTTTGTTTTATTATCAGATTACCCTGGTCTGTCGGATGAAGAGGGTTCCTCTGAAGTCTTCCTCACCACTGACAGCGACTACGACTCCAGCCGGGCGCAGAGCCCGCGTGAGCTGGACCTGCTGCCCCCGTCCCCGCTGTCCTCCTCGGCGCCCCTGGAGCCGCGCGGTTTCCTGCGCAGCGACGGCGGCGGCTCGGGGGGCCTGAGCTGCCCCGGCGGCGGCGGGCGCGGCGCCCTGAGGGACTCCACGCCGGACGTCCTCCAGGCCTCGGAGCCTCAGCTGGGGCGGGACGGCGGAGGGCGGGAAAAGCGGCGGGGCCCGCCGGAGCTGTTCGACAGCGACTTCATCCTGCCCAGCAGGCAAATCGAGCTGCTGCACATCACAGAGAAGAGGCAGGCGTTCTGCGTGAGGACCAGCAGCCTGGAGTTCCCGTCCAGCACGTCGGCCCAGCAGCCGCCGCCACCCCGCTGCTCCTCCCCCTCCGCCTCACCGCAGAGCCGGTGGCACCGGCCGTCGTCGGTGGACCGCTGCTGCTCCGCCGAGCGCTGCGCGCCGCAGCGTCCGCCGGCTCGGACGCTATCGGAGGACAGCGGCACGCAGAGACTCAACTCGCCGTCGCCGGCCGTGTTCAGGAAGGGCTGCCACGCCACGCTCAGAGTCTACCCACAGTACCGAACCGGTCTGCCCAACGAGACCAGCGTCAAGGTACCGCAGCGCCACCACCTGTTCCCTCTGGGCGCTACGGAATGCCCTCCATGACAACAATCCACCCACTGCTTAAAACGGAGTTCAGACATTTATTTTTAGCAAAATTTTGGGTTCGTTTTCTTAGACATCCATTTTAATCTCTTTTATTTCTTGAAGTATTTTATCCACTACAATCGCTTGTTTTGCTTTCGAGATCTAAAGATATATTATAAATAAAATCTATTATTATCATAAGACTCAGTTTGACTGGGATCAAAGCTCCAATATCTGTAACATTTTCAGCTCCTGTGGTTCATTCTCAGATAATTACAACTTTTTCTCATAACTTTTTGTTCCACCTCTATTTTACTATTTAAACCAACTTTATTCTTTTATTATTATGACTTTTTTCTGATATTGCAACTTAGGATAAAATATTCAGACTTTATCCTAATGACTTTTTTCTCTGATGACTTTATTCTCCTTTTCTTTCTTATTTTGACCCGTAGTACTGAGTGGGTTTTTAGTTTCATTGAATTTCCATCCTGTTTTTAGTTGTTGCTGTTTGTGTCTGTCTGAAGCCGAGCTCAGCGTCGCCTCTTCCTCTCCTTGTGTTGCAGCTTTGCGTAACTTCGGTCACGACGGCCCGGGAAATGGTCCAGCTGGTGGTGCAGGAGATGAACGCGGTGTCTCGGCGCCTGCTGGGCGGCAGCGAGGAGCAGCAGTGTGTGTGCTACGGCCCGGAGCAGGTGAAGCACTTCGGCCTGGTCCTGGTGGTGGACAACAGGGAGAAGTGGCTGCAGGACGACTTCTGTCCCCTGGAGCTGCAGAACCCGTGGCTGCGGGGGAAACTGTGCGTTCGCATCAAGGACTACTCTCCTCTAGCGCTCAAACACAGCCGGGCCACCACGGTGTGACGCGTATTCAGGTTTTTAAACCTCCGCGAATTCGGCCGTCTTTGTTGCTTCTGAGTGTTTTTATTTTATCAGAGAATCTCTTTCTATGAAATGTGTTCTCCCCAACAAAAGAGCTTTTTTTCTACGAACATCAGACCCTCATATGGACGCCAAATGAACGCTCAACAAGAAACAAAGAAAAAATGCTCCTACTTTCTTCATGCTGTCAGAAATTGTTGAGCAGAAGATCGTGACACTGAGCAAATCTCACAGTCTGATGTTTGGCTGGAAGCAGCACTTTGGGCTGCGTGCGTTTCCAAAATGGCGCAGGCTTCATCATCGTCATCATCATGCGGTGCATTGGGACATTGCAGAAGAAAGGAGGAGTAAATTTCCATCATAAGACTCCAAAATGTTAAAAATGTGCTTGGAAAAACTTTAAGACTTTTGAAATTCAGAATCAGAAGAGTTTTCTAGAAAATTTCTGAGATTACTTTCAAATTGTTTTAAGGTTGTTGTTTTCTGGGAATTTTGTTAGATTAACGTATAAATTTCTGAGTTTTTTTTTTTTCAGGAAAATTTCTGAGATTCATCTAAAATTGTCTGATTTTCTTTCCTAGGAACTTTTTGACCTGTGAAGTCCAGAAATGCCCAAGATTTATTCTACAAAGTTTCTGAGATTAATCTAAAATTTTCAGGTTTTTTCCTAGAAAATTGTTTGACTTTTGGAGGTATGAAATTTCTTTGCTTTTTCTGGAAAATTTCTGAGATTAATCTCCAATTTTCTGATTTTATTCTCTTGCAGTTTACTTACTTTTCCGGCTCTGAAGATTTAGTCTGGAAAATTTTAGGTTTATCTAAAAAAAATTCAGATTTTTTTTCTAGCAAATTTTTTACTTTTCAACCTCAGAAATCTCCAATTTTCTCTAGAAAATCTTTGATCTCAAAACTTCAGAGTTTTTCGGCAGAAATGTACTTCTATACACTGGTCCTAGTTTGCTGTCGTTGCATCCTGACAGCTAAACAGAAAGAGATGCGTTATTGCAACGTGTTCAGAGGTAAAACATTTGACCTGTAAGCCGGTCAGAGCCGCTCTCCGTTTCTCCCAGGCCTGATTTTTAGCAGCAAAGCAGGAAATAATGAACATTAGCACAAAATTTGGTGGTGCTGTCCTCTTTAAAGTCGACTCTAGATAAAATAGATCCTATTAAACCAGCTAATTTTCCAAACAGGGAAAAAGAAGCAATACTCTCCATTATGTTGATTTGAATTGAAATAGAAATAATGCAAACATTCATTAGCTGCCATTCTGGCCCTTTGACCTTTCATGGAGCATCAGTTGGATGTTTCAAAGTTGCTTTGATTTGATTCTTCATACCTCGTCAACCACGTCTCTGGGTTTGTTGCTGATCTCTTCTCCACATGCATCAGGAATGTTTTTCAGGTTTCAGGAAGTCCTGTGTTTCTGCAGATCACAAGCATTAAAAGCACGTCCCAGAAGATGAGTTAAGGCAAATAAAAGGTTCTCACCTGCCAGGTGAGGCTGTAGAAATTCACTGGCCTTTCTGAGAAACACATGCACAGTAAAGGTCAAACATTGTTGTAAGAACACTTTAAGACATTTAGATAGTCTTCATTTAGCATAAATTCACACTAGATGGTACAAAATGCTAAAGCTAACGGCTAATGTGTTGGGGGTTAAGACCAAATGGGTCTTCTGGTGTCTCCAATCTGAAAAATGTCACCAAGCTCTTAAAACATCATATTTAGCAGTTATTTCCCCAGAAACTAAAGATTTTACACATCAAACATGGAGGTTGAAGGCGGTGCACCACCAAAAATCTTCCAGACTAAAACACTGACAATGGAACATTGGAGATTCGATACGAGAATCATATTTTAGAACAAAATTATTGGTGCTACAATAAGTTACCCAACTATCAAAATGGAAGGGAAAAAAATCACTTTCTAAGTTGATCAGAATTCCTAGGAAATTAAATTTTTTTGCATTTTTAATATTTAAAAATTAGAACATGCCATTCCCGATATTGAGATTAGGGATGCACCAAAATATTGGCATCAACATCCGATACCAGTCATTAACATATCAGTATTGGTCCGATAAATAAAACTGGGCCAATATTTATTTTTTATTTGTTCCTGGTTATTTTTTCCCCCCAAAGGTGTTGAAATGGTAGTGAAATCTGAATAACACCAAATATTGGTTATTGCTGATAACAGTAATATGATTCAATATCGGCCCAATTGCTTTTTGCATTGGTGCGTCCCTGATTGAGATGTTCATATATGTCAGATAATTGATCATGTGAAACAGTAGAAACAGATTAAACTGAGAAAAAAAACAGTTGAATTAAAGCAAAATAAATTCTCCAATCACAGAAATCTGGTACATAATTTATTCCAGATGTTTGATTCTTAAAGAGAGAGAGAAAAAATTGAAGTGTAATAAAAGTATCTGCTAAATTGAAACTGTTATCTTTTCAGATGCATTTTTTAATTTAATTCAAATTACTTTAGGTATGAGTTTTTATATTAGGTATTAATAAATATTTGTTTACAGTTCTGGCTCCTCTAACAGATCTTCCTGCACAAACCAGCCAAACATTCCCTTTTTAACATATCACAGCATTATGTTACATTTCATTATTCCAGCTTCTTTGACTATTTTTTGCAGCAGATGAAATTATGTTCTGCTCCAAAGTTACTCCTTCAGGCTCAGCAGCGTTTATTACTGTAAATACAATGTAGCATCGAGTTTATTGACTCGGTTACTGTAGCATGTTGAACCTGCTAGCGGGGCGCTAACAGACGCGTCCTCACTGTTTACAGAGCTGACCTTTCTTACACATTTACAGACATGTTTTACATGTAAACTGTTGTATAAAGATGTTCTAATGCGTCGTAACTGGTTTTACTGATGGCTCCCGCTCTCGTGTTCGCGCTTAGATGTCCTCTTTATTCGTGTTCTGTTTTTTTTTTTTTTTCGACGGCCATCTGCAAAGACAAATGACTCAAACTGAACCGAGGAGATCAGGGGATGAATGTACTGTATCTGCCCTCAATGTGAAGCTAACCAGAGATGGGAGGGGGGGCTGTGACCACTGGAGATGTCAAAGGTCAGTGACATTACGGGCTCTGAAATGAGGGGAAAAGAAGGTTTTGAATTCCCTTTCTGGTGTGGTAAAAATACAGCCCTGCGTTTACAAGGAACTGTTGGTGGATCCATCAGGCAAAGTCATGAAGGAGACATCACGTCACTTTTTTAAAATTTATTTTTATTGAACAATAAATGAATATTACAAAATAAAAGCCCTTGTTTGTTTAGTTTTTTTAATAGATCTGCTGTATGGGAGCGTAGGAACTTTCTGGCCTCTTTTATGGGTTGTTACCTCTGAGCTCTTCCTGTTTGGAGCGTAAATTAGCCGTAGCTCGCTGTCCTCGCTGCTTAAACTTTAACTGGGTGCAGCACATTATATTTTTATCTATGCTTTCACATGTTCCATTAATTCATCTGATAATGATCAGAGTGACATATAGCCGGCTGTCTGCCTGCAGGCGGTGACCTCACCGTCGTTTGCCACCCCGTCGATGAAAGCGGGACGGCGAGCAGCTGCAGGATGAAACCCGCCATCGTTTAGGCTGCGAGTCGGTCACCGATGATGAACAATGATGGAAAGAATTACTGCTTTTCAAACTATTGGACGTCTCTCTCCAGCACTTCCTTCGTCAGACTCTCAGTCAATGTTATTCTCAGTCTGAATCTTTTCTATAAAGCATGTTTGGATTAAAAATAAACGTGTCGGAGTGTGAAAAGAAGAAAAACAATAATTTGTCAGAGACAAAAGGAAGCAAAAAAGTGAAAGTGTTTGCTTTTTAAAAGTCACTTTGTTGTTCAGGTAATTTATTATTCTACAGGCAAACAGTGGTGGGCAAACTTATGCTAACATGCTAAGAGCGGTTCTGATATTAGCATTTTGCGAGCCTTGAAAACATTTACCTCTGAATTAAATTTTCTAAATAAATTCTAAAGCACTAATTTGCAAACTTAGTTGGATAAATTTTGACATGTTGAAGTTTCAGTTATCGACTGTTGATCCTTCAAGTGCTTGAATGTTTATGTTTATGCTCTTATTTTGAAGTCAGTGAAGACTTTATAGAATAGAATAGAATAGCATTTATTGTCATTGAACAGGATTCAACAAAATTTCTCCTTTTTTAAAAAAGCAATGTTACGAATAAAACCAACAAACAAATTATATATATAGAGGAATACAACACTGAAAAAACTGACATTATTTTTGTTGTAGTTTCTAAATATCTTGGTACACTTAAAATAAGACAAAACTAACTGATAAGTAACTTTTTAGAAAGATATAGGAATTTGATTTATGTCAATAATACCTTAATATTCATATAAAAGTGCTACATCAAGCAGCAGATTATCACAATTATAACATGGGGAAAAAATGTTGCTACAAGTGAAATAATCTGTAATATCAAGGAACTATTTATTTAAAGAAGCTTCCAACGTTTGTGAGTTAGTTTTGTTATTTTAAGTGCACTAGTTACACTTGTTAGTAAAACAAAAAATCCCATTTAAGATTTTTTTAAGAGCCTCCACATGTTCCCCTTGCTTCACATGGTTGAATTTGGTCCATTAACGTCACTATGTGCAATATTTATAATTAGCGCTGCTTTCAGTTGAGTTTGCGGTTCCCACCACTGAAAAAATGCTTTATCGCCCCCATGAGGCTGAACTAGAAACTGGGATTTCTCTGAAATGTTTGCCAGTCGTCAATGAGACCCAATCAGTTGGTGTTTGCAGATGCAGAAAGGTTTGATAATCTCCAATGTCTCATTTGAAATTCTGCCAAATCCACACATTTTCACACGTTTTCCAAAAGACAGTAATAAGTGAATAATCCAGAGCTTTAAATATTCGCCAGCAAAGAAACGTGGAGGAACTCCTGCTTCTAAAGATAAAATCTCCTGCAAGTCAGCAAGCAGCAGAACGCCTATTTTTACTTTTTCATTAATACATTTACATGTTGCACGCTCCTGTTTATGCGCTGCGTGTTTATATGTTTAGTTGACTCATGATCCCGGGGTTGAATTCTGGCTCGCCAGCTTGCTTTCAGCAGGCTCATATCACAGTGCTCCCTTGCTAGCCCCATGTGTTTTTTCAGCCCTTGAGCAAATAAAATGCTGCATGCTTCCCTGTCAACAGATCCTACAAACATTAATGTGAAGAAGGACGCACAAACACATGCACTGGCACACAGCGGCCACTCAAGAATCTTGATATATGGATGTCTAAATGCACATGTTTACCATTTGGAAGATTTACACTTTTAAGCTAAATCAGGACAAATCCACACATGTTTCTCAAGCATCTTATCTCACACAAGCCAGGCAGCAACGCTTGCCAAGTCACTACACCTTTAAGAGCAGCCCTTTAGCATTTATTGACAGTAACTTAAGAATTGTACTGGAATTCTGACACCTCCTAATTTTAAACCTTCTGACTCCAGGAGGACCCGATCTAAATATAACCTCTGGCACATATCTGAATGCACATAAAGAAAACATTCCAAAAACGCCTTGAATAGCAGCTATTCATGCTCAGAAACAGAGATTCAATGTGGAATGCGCCTCGCAGCGGCACGCAGCGCGTCTCGTGACTCGACAAATCCCTGCGTCCAACAACAGGAGCAGGTTAAGGTCCAGTTCCCGTCGGATTTATCTGATATGGGCCTTTATGAGAACTTCCACTGGCATGGTCGTCGGATTCGGAGGTTGTTAAGATTCCTTGCAGAAACTGGATGAGTGCAAACAGCTCGAAGCATCTGATACGACCGCCGGTCCATCTGACAATCACTTCACCGGCACAGTGGGCGGATTTTTGGGTTCTGATCTCCTTCCACGCCTTGTGCTACTTTTGATTCCTGCAGAAGTTCGTAATGGTAGTAGTTATGCAAAATTTACATTTTGGAAATTTTTCTAGTTTCATTTGGGTCTAAAACTGCTTAGAAAAGCAACCAGCCGTTTTGAGAAACTTAGAAAATTATCAATCATTTAATATTTACAAATTACATCATCAGATGGACCAAAATTTAAAGTTAAGTGAAAATTTTAGTATTTTAAGGACAAAAATGACAATGATTTGTATAAGTAACAATAAATAAGTAAAATCAGGCAAAAGAAGATTTTGTCAAATCAGTTTTTCCAATAAAAATCTAATGAAACTGCAGGTCTGTGTCTGTTGAGTCTTCGGTTAAAACGTGTTTGTTTTTCATTCAGTGGGTATAAAATCCAGAAATATTAATCAAATAAGAGTAGAAATACTTCATCATAAAATTACCCAAGTAAAAACAACAGCGTAGTAAAAATGCGCCTAAGTTTTATGTTTTCCAAAAAGTCACTCAAGTAAATGTGATTGAATAGCTGTAACTATTTAACTCTGTATGTGCTGTACAATGGCTGCTGGAAAATACAAATGTCTTGACTTATAATCAGGAAACCATTTGCTGTGCTCTTGTTGGTTATGCAGGAGGCTCCACTTCTGCTTTTCGAAGATGTAGGTCTCGGTCTCATGACCATAGTTGGAACATATCAGTGTCATTGCTTTGCTTTTTGGCTCAGACTCCAATGCTTGAAACATTTAAAGATCAAATGAATCGTCTGAAAGCTTTCTTTTCAACATTGGATTTATGTTTAGAGGATGACACAGGAGTGGATTTTTCACTCCCATCCCTCTGCAGCAGAAACAAATCCTATCCTGTCCGAATCTCAGGCCAGAGAAAAAAACAAAAACAAGAAAATAAAAAAGATTTCTCTCCCGTCCTACTTCCCGTAAAACGACTCCCGCTCCTGAACCGCTCCCGTTTTTCTTCTTCATTTAGGCTTTACACTAACTTTTATTTGATCTCCTCCCTATTCTGTTTTAGGTTACTTTGCCTTCTGCAGTTTTATTTGAAAGATGTGGTAACAGGAATAGTCCATTTGTGGAAATACAGGGAGGCATTTTCTGCTTTAATCAGAACAACAAACACAGGAAACATTTTGTGCTTCTGGGCCTTGTAGTTCTTTTGACTTCCATTAAAGTGAGACTATATTAAAAGAAAACTACAAAATGGCGGCGTCTGTCCTACATTTCGTTTGTCATCATAACACTTTTGTTCTCGCTCCTGTTTTGGTTCCGTTAACCTTTTGTCCTTTACCGACCCGGTTTTTGATTAGCAGTAAAAATTAATAAATCTCTAAATCTCTGGTTCCTCTGTTGACCCTTTAACAAGGTTTTTACCAACATTTCACTCAGAAGTAGCTTATATAATGATGCACAGTTCCACCAGGTGTTTGCTAATTGCTGCTGGCTAGTCTGAAGGAGCTGACTAAAGCGGACAAAAGGTCGATTTTACATGAAACAGCAGCTTCAACTTGTTTTCACTGTCATAACATAATAAAACCTAAATGAAAAATGAACGTATTTTGGACTTTATGCTGACACGATGAGGACATCACCTGTCATTTCAACACCAGCAGCTTCCCGGCCCTCGGCGGATTATCAGCAGCGAACGCGTGTGCTTACATGGCGGCTCCAGCGCGCGTGTGAGGGGTTTTGTAGATGCGTGTACAGCGGGTGGGAGAAAATAAAGCCTACCACTACGGCATCACTCATTTCTGTCTCTCATTCTCCTTCCCCGGGGCCCATAAACCTTTAAAGCACCTATAAAACACTTGGCGAGGCCTTTTTGAAGTTTTTATGAAGATCAGGCTTTATTGTTCCCTAGAGATGAGCCCCACTCCGCTGGCGCCTCGGCGCTTTCTGGAAGTGCCAGTGAATTCGGAGCGGGAGGTGTGGGCTTGGAGCTGGGTGGTAACGGAGGAGGTCGTCCCATGGAGGAGAGAAGGTTGCTGCGTTTGGATTCCCTGGTGTATGCGTGTCCGCTTGGCAGATTATAACTTTATCTTTGGTGCTAACATTCTGTTCTTTGGGCAGCATTTCAGGTGAAAGTTGGCAGGTCAAGTTCACATTGCAGCCTGAAGTGACCAATTTTTTTGTCATTCCCACTTCTAAATGCATCCGACTCGTATGTGATTTTAACAGTGTCCCACAGGCGCAGTAGGGGGCGCAATAACGTGACACATAGAGAGCACGCTCAGTGTTTTGCTAACTGCCACAAAACAGTAGAAGAAGAAGAAGTGCTCGGAGTTTGAGGAAGTAAACGTGGATGCAAATGGAGGAGCACATGTTAGGCTTGATGTTTATTTTGGGATTATTAATCAGTGCTAGATTAGC